CTCTCACAGGTACTGTAAATCAAGGTATATTTGATGCATTTCCTCCAGTTTGAAGAGCTCTCAGGGACATGTGTTTAAAAGGGTGTTTTTCTGACATTTATTGCGGCCGCTGTTACTGATCAGCGTGCAAAGGGACATTATGGTGGTCTGACTTTTTTTTTTTTTTTGGGTACCCATTGGGATGACAAATCCTCACTCTTGGAAGCACATTCCAAGTAGCCAGGTGGGAGCAGATGTGCTGGAGCAGAGAGAAAGAATCCTCCTTCTACCTCAAACAGCAGCTGCAGAGTTACTCTGTGGAAGCTAGCTACTCTGCATCTTGGCGGCTGGCGTCATCTCTTCAGCCCCTTATTTGGCCACCAGAGGATGGAGGATCTTGCATGTGTCCAATACACCATAGATACCTTAAGGACAAAAGGAGCTCAGGCCTGCAGGAACTGCTTTTACATTCACAGTGATCACAGACTGTACTGGGGTTGGGGGAGGAATGGATAGATCATCTGCAGCCTCCCCACCCCACACCTTTCCTGTCACCTGACTCCCCTTACACATAGTGCCAAAAACCATCATCAATAGCAATTACAGGGCTGCAAAGTTCAAATGTTCCAGAGGGACAGTGCTGCCCACTTTTGTCATGCTTGGTGTTTTTCTTAAACCCCCAGTGCCTGGAGTCATGTGATTCTGAGACTCAGCTTTCATTTGTTTAAAAATAGACGTTTTGATCCCTCATGGGTGCAGAGAGAAAGCTTGAACACAGGACCGGTGTGCACCCCTCTCCTCCGCAAAGGCCCAGAAATAAGAAAGCAATTATAAAATTAATTGTGTTTATTTTTAAGCCCACGATTTGTATGCCAATCTCATGATTTGAGGCCTGAACGCTTGGGGTTGATAATAGTGCAGTGAACGTCACAGTCTACTAAAAAACACAGGAAAGTCCTTGGACCCGGGCCTAGGAATGTCTGTCTTTCTGGGAAACGCTTAATCAAGGCATCGAGACTCAGCAGGTCACAAACTCAGAGCTTTCTTGATGCGACTAGAACTCATGTTAACTCTTTCCTTGTTCTACTTCCTTCCTATGTTCAGCCTTTCTGGTTCCTGGCCTATATTTAAAAGGTGTTAATCGTCAGAGCAGGGACCAGGATTTCATTTTAATCTCTGTGTAATAACAACAACAAAAGATATGGTGCTACATACATAGTTAATAGCAAACATCATCTGTGAGGCAGCAGAGTATTTACAAGAGTTCCTAAAGTCCTGGCCCAGAATGCACTAGATTCAGTGTAAAGCCTAGGATGGATGCTCTGGAAGCAGTCTCTTCTTTGGTTGGTGGCTATCTAGGGATACTAAATGCTTTGGTAACTTTTTATAAAATGTCCTTTTAAGCTAAAGGGGGAGGCGTATGTAGTATAAAGGGCTTGGGTAGCATCCTTTTACATAGCTCTACTAGAGGGTGGCTCACAGTGGTCTAAATTTCAGAAACCAGACAGAGCAGCAGTGTTGAGATGTTTAGTAAACATGGTTTAGATCCTAATGGGCCCCTGTGGTTCCTTCCTATTTCATATATGGCCCAAAAGGCAGAAGACACACCAGAGGCTCCAAGTTCTCAGCCGAACAGTAGGGAATGTCCTAAGGACCTCGTACATGCAATTCAGTCACTCTCCTAGACTCTCTCTCTCATTTAAAGCAATCTCACCAGTTATTGGTAACAAGAAGAGATCAAACCTTTTAAGAGACGTTATTGTTAAGTTGCCAATTATGTTAATGGAGGACATTGAGGGAAATATAAATCCTAGGAAAGAACAATGTTAAGGGGACTGGGCCTTTGAGGGGATGTCTATGCGGCAATGAACCCCCCCCCCCCGGCTGGCCTGTGCCAGCTGACTTGGTTTGTGGCGCTGTTTAATTGGGGTGCAGATGTTCAGGCTCGGGCTGCAGCCTGGGCTCTAGAACCCTGTGAGGTTGGAGGGTCCCAGAGCTCAAACTACAGCCTAAACTGTGTCTACATGGCAATTAAACCAACCCTTAGCCAGAGCAGCTGGCACGGGCCAACCGTGGCTGTCTAGTTGCAGTGTAGACATACCTGGAGAGAACTTAAAAGATGGTACGGGAGTAGTATATAGGAAGGATACAGAGGTGGATATACGCTGTTAGTCACTACGAACAGTTCTACTAGCACATGATAATATGTAACATTGTTCATAGGTTAGTGGGACCAATAAAGTTATCAGTGTGCACTACAAATGGCTTCCTTATCACAAAGCTCTTAAGAGGAAGCTCCAGGAGCTTTGATTACCATGCCCCAGAATACACTGACCACCAAACTTGTCCCTCCAAGTGCCGTGCCAGCATATCCTATTCCTTTGAAGGTGCTGGACACAGCAAGACAAGCTGTTACTCTTGCTGCTCTGTTACACTGGAAGCTCTTAAGATGCTGACCCCAACCCCCTAAGCAGTGCTCCAGTCCTTAAAAAAAAAAAAAAAAAAAAAAAGTGTAGTACCAGAATCCACTGCTGGTAAGTGAAAATACCGGGAGTACCAGAATGTGGAGACAGCTTTCCCAAGACAGTGCTGGAACAGGGTTTTCCAGCATTCCCACAGACTCAAGTCCCACCCATTGGTCTCAACTGTTAGGTTTTTCCTTTCACTGAATAAATGTGTTTCAGATTATTTACCCCTGACATTCATTAACTTTACAAAGCTGAATTCAAATTTGTGGTTTCCTACTTATCTTTAGCACATCTTTGACTCCCAACTCCTTGCAACTGTGGGGTCTGTTCTCATTTCCATTGAAGACAGTGGCAAAACTCCTATAGGTTTCAGAGTAGCAGCCGTGTTAGTCTGTATTCGCAAAAAGAAAAGGAGGACTTGTCTCGAAGGTGCCACAAGTACTCCTTTTCTTTTTGCGAAAACTCCTATAGGAGCAGCTCCTCCATAGTAAAGAACAGTCAGCAGCTCAGACAGGCACTTAAGCTGTCCTGGAGCACAGGTGATGTAACTTGTGGCTTTAAAATATTTTGTCACACACTAAGTGAACAGGCTTGTCTGTGATTAAATCTACCAAGGAGGGGAGGAGACAGGAGACATGTGGGTGGTTTGTGAGTGTTTATGTCTGCAGCTCAGTTTCCAGGAGTTCTTCACTGCTCTTACTCCAAGCAGAGTAACCAAAAGGTACAGTTTTCCCCTCCATTTCAGTATCCTTGTAAGTAACAGCCAGTCACCTACCCTCACACATGTGATCAGAAGCACACCAGTGGGCAATTCAGCCATATAAGGCACCGGAGTTTGACTATCCTAATCCCACACTAGTGTGCAAACAGCTCAAGGGGAACTCTCTGTTGAAATCTTGAATCAGACTGCCTGCCACCGTAACCACACAGCTGCTTAATAAGGTATCTTTATTTTCCCTGTTAATACAGAAACATGTAAGCAGCATACTTAGTAATAGCGGTGATTGGAAACTGGCATTTCCATTATGCAGGAATCCCTGTTCTGTGTGGCAACTGAGAACTCCTGAATGAACTAGTGATGGGAACAGTAAGGAAACAGACTCAGTGAACAGGACACATGGAAATTGGCTTTTTAAAGCAATGATTTAACTACCTGGTTCAAAAAAATGTCCTTTCCCAAAGCCTCATGCTGCTGATATGCTTGCTCCTCATTTTATTTATCAGCTGCACTTCTATTTTAAGTATTGGAAGTGATTTCTCTTCAATGGTAGGAAAGTATTTATCATTTCACCTGCAGCCAAGTAGGACCTGGAAAAGAATGCTATAGCTGATGGGAGGGTCAGTTGGAGCCAGTTCTAAACTGGTTGTTCTGCCTCAGTGCTCAGCAGAGCTTGCTGTGTCCTTTCAGAAATGGAGATTTTGCTTCTGTGCATATGTCTGATCTGCATAGTTCACTGCATTCTAGAGCAGCATTCAGTGATCATTCAGATAGAACAGACAAGAAAGAGCTCTGCCCAAAGTGGTCCATTTATACAGACCAACAGAATTGTGTCTTTTGGTAACAGACTTATTGAATGTTCATGTTAAACACCCCACAACCATGGCAATATTTGCTCACTGTGTTAGTGGTTTGGATCACCGCAAGAACATTTGTTTAGATGTTTTTGTTATTGGTTTTAGTATCAAAATGTGTAGCCATGGAAATTAATGATTACCAGACACCAGGGTCCCATAGGTCTCCCCTTCTGTGAGTAAAGCTTTGGAATGATTAGGAGGGGTCTCTTCTGCCTGCTGTCCTGGCAATGGAAGTGGCTTATGGGCACACTACACTAACCTAGAGATTTGGTGGCCTGGGAGGTCATATTAGAAAGCTGTTCCTCACTCAACTTGCTCAAGGGGCACATTAGTCAGGGACCTGGTTCTTGGTTACTGCTCTTGAAAGGAGATCCAGAAGCTGAAGTTTCCCTGTTGTGCACAACCATTGCGACCCAGCTCTTGTACAATGGGCTATGCAGCCAACCAGCCCCCACCTTGTTTGTGCTCTGCTCTCACCTGACCATCCCACTCCTTACAAGTGAGCCAGAGAAAGAGGGACCTGCCTGCTGGACTTTGCTCTTCACAGCACCTTCCCCTTGGTCTCCTCCCGAGAAAGCAGATTTACAGGACTCTCCCTTCTAAACAGCTCCCTTCTTTCTGCATTGGCTAACTGAGTCTCGGCTAATTTGTACAGCTAGGGGATGTGGGGGGAGGGAGGCCCTATTTAAAGGGAAGGACTTATTTGCTTCTAGTCTAGTTCTAGCAGAGTCGACTTGTTGATAGGTGGACTATAATGCAGTGACTGTTTAGTCACACCAGTTCCGATTCTTCACTGCTGTGTGTGATATGGCAGCATTTAAACCCCCAGTGTGCTCACTGGGAGGATAATTACACAAGAGGCAGAGCAGTGAAGAATCAGGCCCTCAGCCTTTTCCAGGGTGGAGTTTTGGGTCAGTTTTTGACATGGTAACTTCAGTTTCTGCTGTTTATGTTTTTAAATTGCTCAGGAACCTAGAAATCCACGAGGCACATGATATACATGGTGCAGCAGATATGGCAAATGCCTGCAATACCCTTGGAAGACCTTGTTGTATTCAGTTTGTATTATTGTGAGCCAGGACCTATGTAACCTCTGTAGAGGGAGATGTGACAGATGTAGGACCAGGACATTCAAAAGACTATAAATTAAAGCAAATTCCTCAACTCCAGTTATGCAAAACCCCTGCCTTTTGAAACTATGCCCTGCTGACTGAGTCACTGGCTGCTGATTACTTGTTGCAGAAGGCCCAGATCAAAGGCCCAAGCTAATTCTGGATCAAAGGTGGATACACACTTGTAACCACAGGGAAAACCCAGCTGTAGGACTTGAAGACCAAAACTCTGCAGAGCCTAAGGTTGGAGCTGGGGTGACGTCTGGTAAGCTTTTTAGTGTGTGGAGGTTCTTTATGGTTTTCATAGGTTTTCTCTATAATGTTTTCACCTTAAGAATAAATGTGCTTTCCTAGAAGGAGTTTGTGGTAACTTATAACTGTTAGTAATACACTGGTCATAGCCCTTGGAGAGAAAGCAGAGCGCAGATGCTGGCCTTTTTGGGCAGTCTGGCTTGCTGGGGATATCACAGCATAAGCAGGGAAATATGCAGCCTTAAAATCCCTGGTCAGGCAGGAGTAATATGTGGGTCTTCATCCAAGAAAGGTAATGCGTGGGAGCCAGACGCCTAAAGTGGGTGCCCTTGGTGGATCACTGAAGGGGAATACAGTCCAGTTGCCCTGAAACCGTGACACATGGAACAATGTTAGAGGACCATCCCTTCTTGTGGTTTACCACTTTGAACTTCTCTAAATGCTGGATGAAACTTGGAGCTTCCCAAGGCAGAGGTGGATTAAGGCCATAAACAGACTGGCTGATTTGAGCCTCATGCTTTGAGAGGACCTCCAGATTTTGGAAAATAGCTCTCTTCCCTTACCCACCAGGGTGGTCCATGCAGTCTGAATCCAAACCTGTTCTGAGCTATATTCTGCACGTTAGGGAATGGACAGACCATTTAGTTACTGGGCTCATTCCCATCTGATTTTATGATAGTTTCTTACACTTAACCCCACCCCACCCCACCCCAAGAGCTCAGAGTAACTGTAGAAGACTCTCACCAGTTGGTGCACTCCCTTGTGGCAGGGCATGATGTTGCAGGACCTTCTCATCAGTCACCTCCACGGGACAGCCAGTCAGGCTTGCTGGTGGTCAAGTTATTCTGGTGATCTGGGCCTCTGGCCAGGTCACATTCAGGCTCACCCCTTCCAGGGTAAACCAGGAATCCAACAAAATGATAGTCCCCTGCCCTCACACTGGACCTTCAGCGTGACTCAAGAGTCAGTAGTCTTCACCCCTTGTATCAAGGGTTTCTGCACCGTCTTCCTCAGTAGGCCCTAGGGCAGTGGGTGTCAACCTATATACCATTCTGGGCTGCATATGCGGCCTACAATATGTGGGGTGCATCCAATACTACCTGTATGGCCCTGATGTCACATGAACTGCAGCTGTGTGCTGATTGGGCCACAAGCAGCCCAAGGCCACAGGTTGAGAACCACTCCCTTAGGGGAACCAACACTCTCCTTCTATTCTAGAGTCCAGTCCAGGGACCCTCTAGCAAGCACACTAAGATGGTCTACTCAGACACCTTGTTTTTATCCCTGGATCGCTTCCTCCCTGGCCCTATTTCAGAGCTCTTGCTGGACTCAGCAGGTCTCTCAGTTGGCCTCTTGTCTAGGCCTATTGCAAAGAGCTTCCTAACACCTTACTACCACCTCTTTTGCTCTATGCGAATTTTTCTACTCCATCCAGAGGCAGGGTTACTACTGCCGAGGCATAATAAGAACAGCCATTGGCCATCACCCAAACACCAACAAAAGCCAGCCACTGGCCACCTAACAAAAAGGATCCAGCTACAGCTAAAGTGTTTGAGGGAAACATTTTACACACACACACAGATTTTAAAGTGTATTTTGATGTTATTTTATCTTTTTTTTTTTTTACTTTACCTGGATTACAGGGATGTGAAACATAGAACATTCTAACGCACCCCAACTGAAAAAAAAAAACTAACAGCACATTAACGCTATCGGCTAACAAGGAAGCTAGCTGAAAACCAGCCACATAGCAACCCTATTCATAGGTCAACTTCCTGATGCTGCAGGCATCTATACCAAAGTAGAGATCCCCAGTGCATACTCACTTCCCCTTGCTTTCCTTCCTGTTTATAACTCCATCTGCCTCTATCATAGTGACCCAGCTCCTCTGCAGCTGGGCCTAATGCTAAATTGGGCATGGCCCACCCTCCAGGGACCACCAGGAGGGCTAATTGGGCTCTTAGGCTCCTGTTAATCCTTTGTTTGCCAGCGTGGCGTCTATACACACCATCCCAGGAACCTTCACTTTGGATTTCCAGGCTAACAGTTGTTTTTTGAGAAATCTGCAATACTCTCTCAGGGGTGTTTTAAATCATGGATATTCACAATCTTCAGGCCACATTCAGCGTTTTGCCAACTATTTCCTGTGGTACTCTGTAACTCAAAGCAGCACCCTGGAACCCCCATATTCATCACTGTCATATAATTAGGATGTGTTTTGTACAAAGTATGCCTTGTGAGGTATCATTTTTAAAGTCTTGATCTGTGGAACATGAATATCCTCCTGTTGGATGGTATGTGCTGTCATTGTATGGGAAGTGATGACATTTTGCTATGTGTGTGTGCCTGAAATATGTTGTGAGGTTGGGAATACCTTTCAGGTACAACAATGGAGCAGCCAGACGCACTGAAGGCCAGTGAAGGGAATCCACTCCCCCAACATCTCGGAGAGAGCGTATATACAATGGAGGCTGTTTGACCCACATTATCGCAAAAGATCTTTCCAGCAAGCTGGAAGAAACTATAAAGAGAAGTGACATCACGACTTGGCCTCACCCCTCCCACAACTCAACACCTGGAAACATGTCTAGAGGACAAAGTCTTTGAACCAGGGGAGGGTGGTCCTGGGCTGGAAGGCAGTTCCAGCCTATGCACTGAACATCTGTGACCAGTTTGTACCATCTGTCAGGGTGACACACTAGTTGACTCAAATTCTGTTTAGTTTATAGAACTCAGACTGCAAATTTATTTTTGTTTCTTAGGTAACCAACTTTGATCTCTATGCTTGCTAATTATAATCACTTAAAATCTATCTTTCTGTACTTAATAAATCTGTTTTATATTTTACCTAAAACAGTGTGTTTTGGTTGAAGTGTTTGGGAAATCTCAGCTCAGTTTACAAAGGCCAGTGTGCGTCCTCTCCACATGGAGAGAGACAAACTGGGCAATGAACGTACACTGGTCAGGCTTCTGACCAGGGCAAGACAGTACAGTTCTGGGGTGCAAGGCTGGGGAGCTGGGGGTAACTGGCTGGATCCTCTCTATTGTTGGTTCATGAGTGTCTGGGGAAAACATTCAGGCAACTCAGTTGAGTGTGTCCCTGCCCGTGGAGGTCGGTGTAAGTGCTGCACCTGCCAGAGGTTTGTAGCTTGCCAAAAGCATCACAGGGTGAGACGGATACTTGAGGTTGGTGGGACAGAGGGCTCAGTGGTCTCACAATCCAGGTTGCACCCTAGGGGCCCCATCACATTTCCTCAGGTGTTTCGAGACTGTTTTATGTAGTATTGAGATAGATGTGTCGGTTCCAGGACATTAGAAAGACAAGGTGGGCGAGGTAATATTTTTTATTGGACCAACATCTGTTGGTGAGAGAAACAAGCTTTTGCGCGTACACAGAGTGCTTCTTCAGGTCTGGGAAAGATACTCAGAATGTCACAACTAAATACAAGATTGAACAGATAGTTTATAGCATAAGTAATTAGCACATATTCTGAGGGACTATTCAAGGTGAAGCGGCCCATGTGTTAAATTGTTATCTGTGGCCATGGGGAAGCTAAGGTGCAGATGGCACAGCCGCTCCAACATGGGCCTTAGGAAGGATGCAGTGTGGGAGTGTGACCATCCTAACCTAAAGGACACCTGGCAAAGCAGCTACAATCGAGGCCTTATGATCCCATGCCAGAGCACAGAAGTTCTGCCAGACTCCACATACGTATGCAGAACGTGTGGGCATCCTGAAGTGTTTATTGCCCCACTTTACTCAGGGACAGATTCTGCCCCCTTTACTCATGCACATTAGCACCTTCTATCTTACTTTGCGAGTAGTCTCTATGAAATCAATGGGACAACTTATTAAGTATCACACTCCACAGAAGCATATTGGAATCTGACCCTAAATCAGTAGCCTGCTAAGGTCTCCTCCTGGAGAAAGCCAGCAAAGCAACACAAATGTGACATTTCTAGGCCAAGCTGTTCTTGTGCAATTGGGTGGGTGGGGGGAAGGAGTGTTAGGAACCTCTTAAAGCATCTAGCACACTTGTGTGCATGATCAAAATAATACCTCTCCGTCAGAACTATCCTCCAGTAGAATTTCCCATCTCTTGGAAACTGTCTAATTTGCCTCAAGCTGTGGGAAAACTCCCTTAGTAGAGAATCTCACACACTAATATATGTGTGTGTGTCCCCAAATGGACATTATAGTGGAAAAGGAGAGTCACCCTTGACTAAGGAGTTCGTGCTATGTCACCATAGCATTGTACCTGCCATAGCTTCTCTTGTTTCCAACGGAGGGAGTCCTAGCCTTTTCCCTCCCATGCTCCACTGTGCTTTAAATCCTTCACGCAGAAAATTCCTTATGCTCTTGGCTCTTATTCCTTCAGGACATCTCTCTTCTCATCAATTCTGACTGTTGAGTAGCCTGAATTCAGTTGTTCCAGTCCCTCTCTTTTCAGTTATGTTCTCAGCTTCAGAGGATAAATATTAATAGCTTCCATCTATACTGTGCTTCTTTTGCAAAGAATCCCGAAGAGTCTTATGGTTCATATGTACACGGGGACAACTTGAGCCCCCCATGAAACGTAGCCAACTCTGGGATGGAATGTGGCAGCTGTTTAGCAACATACAGCAACAATACACAATGGTTTAAGACAAGAAGCAACAATGATCATTACATTTATTTGAAACCCCAGTGGGGAGTCCACGTTGGCAGAATGTAATTACTTGTTTTGGATGTTAGCCAGAATACTTGGAATAACACTCCTACTTTTGCAACAAGTACCATAGGATTTTGAAATACCTAACCTTTCTATAGTGGCATATTTACAATGGACACATTATACAACTAACACATATTAAGATAGGTTAATACTAGTACATGTTAGGATTCCAAATACAACCCCATTAATATTATGGATAATTATCCAGGTCACAGGCTATAGAGCGGTGGTGGGGGGAGACCATTAGAATATTCTTTCTGCCTACACCCATTATCTTTAACTGCTGCTCAGTACAGAGGTGTCACAGATACACCGTACGTATTTCTAAGATAGATTTTTAAAAGATGTATTGCCCCTTTCATTAACGTTTGTTAGTCTAACTGAAAGACTTGGAGCACACAATGGCTGCTTCTTTGCCTTTTATATGTTCCTTTATTTTATCTGTAGCTTGCTCACTAATGTAACCTCTCATTTTGAGGCTTAGCACACTGGCAGGGACGACAGACTGGCAGTATGGAATAGTTTGAGGGTCAGATCTGGGAAATTCTCTCCCTTATACAAAGTAGCTTGAAAACTTACTCCTCTAAGGGAGGAATAAGTATGCAAACCAATGGAGGCTTTGAGTGGTCTGAGCAGGAAGTATTTCTTCAGCCCTATTAGCTAGAGAGGTCAGTAAATACCTCCCCCATGTGTTTAGACACCCTGTCTGTGAGCAAGCGAAAACCCTGGGCTCTCAGAGTAGGAGATTAGCTGAAGATAAGACTCTGGGGAAGTATGAGACAAATTACATTTCGCAAAGTGAAGGCATTGTTTCTATGTTTGCTTATATATTGATTTTGGTCTTAGATGGCTGGATGTGAGTACTCAAATAAAACAGCTCATATCTTTTCTGCATGTTTGTTTGGGATTCCAGGCTTGCTCAAACAAGTCACGGGCTGCTACATGAACCTCTAACTCATGCTGGTACCCTTTCCCAAGGGGCATGGCAGGCTAGAAGACAACAGAACAGACACCTCTCATGTTATGTTTGGAGTGCTAGTTCAGAATTGACATGAGTAAACCTGCCACTGACACTACTTCGTGCTCTACTCAGGCACTTCCTTGGAAGTCTATTAGAATACAGGCCAAGCCTGACTCAACTCAGTTCAGGAGATCACATGACCACAGCGGACAGCTGCAGGCAAACATCACAAATCTTTTCCCTCTTGCTATGTAAGTTCAGGAAAGCTTGAATAGTCTTCAGTTTACAGGAATAGAGGTGACAGATGTTCAGTAGATGGCTGAGGGGTTAAAAAGCCCTTTCATGTCTCTCCGTGGTATTTGGACCCAGCCTGGCCTGCAGCTGGGTGCAATATAGATGTGATCTCACTGTGTATGTTTGGCAGAGGCATGCTGCTACAGAGAGTTTGATGCTAAGAGCAAGAAGTGCATCCAAAACCCTTAGAGTCGCCTTCAACACTGCCTAATACTCTCTGGACGCTGCTTTAGCTTGGATAATTTCTTGTCTTACTATCTGTACAGGGGAGCGGGAACAATCCCCTTTCTTGATTTATATTGTCATCCTAATGGGGTTCAGAGACTGCAGTTATCTTACCTCTTCCCTACAGCAGTATTTGCCTTAGATTGCATGTTTAGGGCTCTCTCTTTCTCTGATCCTTGTAACCCCTTTTCCTGCCCTTGTGATTGTATACTGGAGACCAGGTCTACAACTCTTATTCAAAGTCCAGTTACAGGGCTATTCACCATTACAGACCTCATTTACATGAGATTGCTCTCAGAGAAGGGTATCAGTTTTCTTCACACCAGAATTCCACAGCATATTCAACATTTAATTTGCTTGAGAGAAGCTAGCAGTCTCCTGCTGGGTAGCTGCACTGTTTGTTTGCTCTCCTCCTGCGTGGGACTTTACTCTTCCAGTGATATTGAAATTCATCACATTGCATGCAGGTGTCTGTGGGTTTCTCCAGATCATGCTGTAGAATTTGGTTCTGTTCTCCTATGTCTGCTACTTAGCTGGGTTTTTGTTTTTGTTTGTTTTTTTGGGGTGGGGGGGAGGGGAAGAGCAGGAGAGAAGATATCACTTGGAATTTGATCACTGCTCACTCTGTATCTTCTTATAACTCACTAATGAATATATTAACTTCTGATTTCTATTGTAGCCAACGTGGTACTATTCATACATCTTCCCCTACCTTTGGAGTCTTTTCATTACTTAGATTTCTAACCCAGGCTGTAGTAATTTTCAAGAGGGTAAGCTTTTCTCCATCTTCTTATTTTGGGGTGGGGGTTCTCTATGAACACCTTAGCGCAATCCACATACTGCACTACGGCCACTTCATTCCTTGTATTCACTAAATCAGTAATTAGGTCAAAAGATAAGTTTGTTTAGCATGTCCTGTTAAATGTGTTGGTAATTCTTGAACTTTTCTCTGAAATAGTCACATGTGGAACATTTTCCATTGGAACTGATCTCAGATTAATTAGCCAACAGCATAGATGGGGGTGGGAAGTAGGTTAGGAAGGCCTGTTTATACAGATATCAATATACAGGGCAGGGAATTGAGGATGGGATTGGAATCTTTCACCGACTCCAATTCAGTCCACGTCAGCAGACACAGATCATTCTCACTGGATAGCTGTTCCACAGGCTATGGGGAACGAAGTGAGGATCTCAGTTCTGATTCTAGGATGACAGATATCCCAGACATCTATGAGAACTCTCAGACACCAAGGACTCAATGGGCTGTGATTTCCTCTAAGTCAGGGGAGAAGTGCACTGTAGGGAAAGCTTGCTGTTCTGCAAATAAGGAGAGGACTTCCATCTCCAGGTCTCATCAAGCCAACAACAGACAGAACATCAGAGAGGCTCTCCTGTCTTAAAAGGGATCCCCTCACTCAGCCCAACATATGCCATTTCCTTGTCAGGTTTGAATGGATTTGACAAGGGGCACCGCTCCAGCATGCCCAGATATACCCAGCACCCCAACCTTCCCAGAAGTCCAAGAAGGGCAGAGAATTGAACTTTTCTATGATAATTTGGAAAGAAAAATTAGCAGCCAAGACCCACCCAGCAAGTATGAATCAAAGTTGGGTCATGCAGAGCCAACAGCATCTGTATTTGGCACATATAGGGAGCAAA